TCTACAACCAAATCTTTCAATGATTTTTCATTAAATAAAAAACTCTTTATTCGTATACAAAATAAGCAGTCATAAACTAATCACGCTCAAATCCATAAATGTTCTCATTTTCTGAGAAAACAGCAGACATCAAAGAACATAACTACAAGCTGGGGAGACGCAAAACGGGGGAATTTAAAAGCGGAAATATCTTTATGAGTTTGAATTCAACGAGACTCTCCGAATAAATAATAAGATTTCCAACTGATAACTTGGTGCGGAGATGAAAAGCTTCAGAACACAATAGAAGTTTTTTGTATCCATACGCAGAACGTGGGATGTTAAATATTGTAATGAGTTTAATTCTCTATGTTTTGCATTACTTGAAAGGAAATGAAAAACTTATCTCTAGAGATAGTCATTATAAAAGTACCGTAAACGATAGAAGGAATATTGATATATGTCAGACTATCAAACCCATATTGGATAAATGCTAGGAAAATGAATGAAACTTCACAATGTGGTTTGTTAAAATTCAAAAGATACTTTCCATGCATATTATTATAACGAATACATTCACTGACGATACTGTATTGATACACGGTAGTTCCTTATGATGATATAATGGGTACGTATGTACCTTCTAAACATCACATCAGGTGATCCATATTAAGTACTCACTATTGGTAACTTTGTCATAATTGAATTTCAAGACACAAGAAATAAAAAATCAAACGAGTAGTAACTAGTGCTACCAACGTAGGAATATAGTAGGTTCTGGTAAATTCCTACCGTAAAACAACCAATTTCTCGGCCAATACCACGATTTACATTGAATTATATTCGACAAACATTTATGCAAGATGTCTCACAGAGATGCAGATGTTTCACAACAGACCGGCTCTGAAGTATTACTTTCATCACTATATTACAGATACATACATTTTTTACTCAAGTTAGAAATACTTTCATCTCGCTTCCCATCCAATGTATTTAATCTATTAACAAGTGTCTTTAATATATATTTTTCAAACAATGTATTGCATAACAGGACCTTAATTGATAATATATTCAATTTATACAATTCGAAATTGCACATTGAGGTGCCTTCTAGACGTTGTAAATACTCATCAAGTCTATTGGATTATGTTTGTTCTAATTTACACGAAGAAAAAGTAAATTGTGAAGTAGTCAATATAGGTTTGTCTGACCATGATGCAATTTTGTGTAAGTGTTTTTTTTGGTCACATTGGCAAATCTCTAGTACGACACAAATAAGGTAGGGTATACACTGTGAAACAAATTTTGAAACATTCACAGAATTGTGTAATAACTTTGTTTGGAGTCATATAGTGACAACCGAGGATCCATTAAACGACTTTCATAGTTCTCACTATTTTTCATGGAGCTTTTCCAATGCAAAACATCAAACTAAAGAAAAATTAAGCTTGAATGATAATGGGTATAAAAGTTTCAGCTAAGAATATGATATGCGGTCACGAACGATCCCCTTGGGGAACTGGGCGAAACCTCATTGTGATCAGGCTACCTCTGGTAATGCCAACTCTTCCCTTGCTACTCGTGGGAACACAAATAAATAAAACAATAGAAACAAAAACCAATCCCGAGGCTGGACAGAAGTGCTCACCTCAATCTGAGGCGGTGGCTGGGGATGAACAGAAATGTCCACCCTAATCTAACGCTTGGAATGAAGCTGGGCATAGCAGATCACCTCCAACACCAAGGGCATTTCCTGCGGCGGGCGCCAAGAGCTCCGCCTTGAATAAAGGCAAGGGATCGGCTGCCCCTGCAGGAAAGCTCCCTAACTTGTGCATCTCCACGGAGGGAACCCCAAGAAGGTTGAAGAAGCCGCGCAACGACAGTATTATCGCTGCACCTTCCAAAACCTTTGCAGAGGCCACCGTGAGACACCTCGAGGTTGTCAAAGAGAGTGTGTGTTCGGCGAGTCTTGGCCTACACCTGCCAATATAACGGAGATATCTCCTAGTGACCTAGTCACCTATTACTATTACTATTACATATGGACACATTGTAAAATCAATTTAGGATTAGTAGATAAGGCAAAATTGTTAAACTCATTTAAGACACCCGACGCAGGTACCTATAACAGGTATCTATAGTATGAATAAGGATAGCTTTGTGAGTATGATTAGTTTGATCTTCCTCTTGAAGATGATCACTTGGTGATCGAAACACGTGTCGAGGTGTTGAAATAACGCTAGGACAAAACTTCAGTAATATGCCTTACTACAACAAAGGTTCCAAACAGTGCATCACAAAAACACTAGTAGTCAGAACTCATCAAATATCATAAGTTTGCACGAATAGTCCAGTCGAAATGTCATCATTCTCTAATGAAGAAAAACGAGGTATGTTGAAACTTTTTTATAAATTTCACAGGAATAGTACGGAAACAGCACAAATTCATTTTGAATTATATACGAAAAGACAACATCTTTCGGAATTTTGGACACACACTTGGCGGAGTACAGTGCGTTTCAAAAACCAAGAAAGAGGTATGTAAGCAGAATGAAACAAAATACTATAAATAACTTATAAGCCGAGTTACAATAATTGTTCCTTCCATATAATTATTTTTTGGTACTTTTTTAGATAAATGCAGATGCTTTCAAATCAACGCATCCATCTCCTCTGTAACTTAAGTTTCTCTCTATGATTAACGGAAAAACAGATTTTAAAACAGATTAAAACAGATGTAGACGCCCAAGTATTTGATGTTCGCCGACATCAAGAGTTTCAAATGGACAATCATTGTATAGATTGCAGCTAAAAGGGAGAAAATAGTTTTTTCCAGATTCACTGGATTCACTGGTCAAACCATTTTTGAGCAAGTGGAAATCTGTTTCTACGTTCTTTTTCAAATCAAGCCAAGTGTCTGCCTCATAGAATATCGCAGTATTGTCTGCGAATCCAATTATTTTCCCAACGCTATCCAACTTGAATAATTCATTTAGATATAAATTGAAAAGCAGAAGACCCAGTACCGTACGTTATGGGACTCCATTGATTGCTAATTGTAACTGCAATTCGCACAACTTTCATTCTATTTCCAAAATAGCTTTCAAAAAGCGTTTGGTAGTTCCCTCTGATACCATTATTTTCTGAAGTTTGTAGGAGTCGTTGATGATCGACAGTATCGAAAGCCTTCTTTAGGTCTATAAATAGACATAAAAAAGGTTTTCCTTTCTCCAAGGATTTATGTATCAATTCTGTCAATTCAAGAATCGCGTCTTCGGTTGAGGTTTTTTTCTTTGAAGCCAAATTGTCTATCTGAAATCAATTCGTATTTGGATATAAATGAGTTTATTCTTTTCTCTAGCAATTTTTCGAAAATTTTCGATGAATGGATGATAAGCGAGATTTGCAAATTTTTTTTTGGACCCTGATCATTTTTTATTGGTCCAATTGATTTAGGTTTAGTGCCGGTGATTTCTTTCACAATATTCCATAGTTGTTTGGTATCTTGTTTTTTGTATTCTATTTTGTTCCTATAATAATTTTGCTTGGTGGTTTTTATCAAATTGGTGAATTTGTTTTCCAAACTTTTGTAATGGTTTTTTAAAAGAATGCTGTCAGGGTATTTGAGACTAGTTTTGAATAAACAATTTTTTTCGTTGATCATTTTCAGTAAAGAGTTTGTTAACCATGGTGCAATTTTGGTATTTTCTTTAAATTTTTTTTTCAGATTGGCACATCTATTTAAAATGCTCAAAATTGTAGTGATGAAGCTATTTAGTTATTGGATCAGGTATACGTTTTCCCAATTTGTGTTTTCTAACTTTTTGTATAATTTCTTATAATTTATGTATGGAATATATTTGCTGTTAGATTCATTGTTATGTGTGCTTTTTGTAACTATTCGTAGTATTGTCGTTGAGTGGTCTCTTATATTTGTTTTCACTATGCGGGGTATAATCGTATCTGTTATATTTATTTTGATTCAACAAAAATATGGTCGAGACATGAGTTTACTTTTGTAAGCTCATTGATAGTGGAAATATATCCGTATTCATTCAGAGTATTCAAATATTCAAATTCATTTTCATCATCTTTGAGAAGATTTATATTCATATCGCCGATGAATATATAGTAACTTTCTATTTCGGTTTGATTATTTTCAAAGTATTTCTGAAGAATACGACTGAAATCACCTATTTTGGAAGATGGTGATCTATAGCATGCTGTCACGAATATAGATTTTTTTCCAAATTAAATTATTGTTTTTAAAAATTTTATGTGCTCTATTTCAATAATATCAAAATCGGATACCCAATTTTTTTTTTAAATAAATTATTGTCCCATCATTTTTATCATAATTACCTTCATTGTAAATCGTATTGTAACCTGGTATCTAATATATAAAAATGGATGTTTGTTGGTTAGTTGGTAAGTGATAAACTTCTACATCGCTCAACCGATCGTGATGAAACTTGACATGTATAAGTAATTTTTCATAGAAAAGGTTTTTAGGCTATCAATGTTTCTGTAACTCGCCACTAGATGGCGCTGTAGAACAATTTTTTGAAAGCACTCTTCTATAACGCTGCGCACGCCCAAGTTCGTTGATTCTGATTCTGTCAAACCATTGGAACAGCAGCGATTCAGCAAAGTAGTAATAATTAGTACTACAACTACCAGATTATACGCGGGCGAAGCCGCGGGCACCAACTGGTATTGCATGCATTTGTGTTTGAGATTTTCCTTGTTTCTGTTAATACAAGACAGTCAAAGTCCGTGTTTACATTGTGTAAAAATATTTCGATGTCATCGAGGTTTTTATCAATGCTTCTTATGTTGTTATGTTATATAGTGAAACTGTTATTTTCATTGTTTACTTCTAATATATTTTTACACTCGCATGCGTTATTTATGGTAAAAGTTCTAACTGAATCTACTTCAAAGTCTCGAATATACTGGTCCATTATTATCAATAATTTCTAATACATACATACGTTTGAAAAAAGATTACAGTATGGGCATTATTTTTCTGAATTATTTCTTTCCTTTGAGCGTGTTATAAGATGTGACTTGGGTAGGGTTCCTGTCTTCTTCATCAGTAGTTCTTCTCTCTCTTTACCGCTTTTCTCATTTTTTGTTTCCTTGTCCTTTGCAGTTGGAGTGAGTAGTACTAGATCTGTTTTTTGAGGTGTTTGAGTAGATGATACACTTATAGAATTCTTCTTTTGTTCATATCCTATATACTCTTCTTCTTCAGGTGACTTCGTCAAATCTTCATATGTATATTTTCCACCATTCACCATCAAGACACCGTTCACCGATGATCCTTTTTCTCTGGCTAGTTTGAGTTGTCCGTATAGGAATTTCATTTTCTGGGACTCTTCTTGTGTGTTGTCAGGGGCAATGAAGATCCCTGTATTTTTCAGTTTGGTTCTGGCAAGTTGGAGTATTTCAGTTTTCAAATTATATGTGGACACTTCAATTATTACAGGTCTAGTTGTATTTGTATTAGCTCTGCCAACCCTATATGTATCTCTGATGTCACTTTCAGAATATTCGATTCCGAGTTTGTTTCTCGATAGGGTATAGATATCTTCTTTGGTATTTTTTTCTTCGCCTGCTAATCCGTTTATGAATAAGTTATATTTCTTAGAATGTTTTTCTAGACTGTTGATTTTCTTCTTCATCCGGCCATTCTCTTTTAATAACTCCCCATTTATTTTTTTCGATTGAGCTAGTTCAGTTTGTGAGGTAGTTAGTTTATGATTCAAATAATCGATGTCTTTTTCAATTGTATCATTCTGTATGAACATATTTTCGTTTTGTTGCTTCGATTCAGTTGATAATTCGTAAATTGTTCCATTGGGGATACTCATATCTTGAATAATATTTTTTTTGATGAACACAAAAACATTCAGCACGCGTTCCTCGTGTATTCGATCAGGAATTTTGGCTAAAACCACTGGAACAAAGCAGACTTTGTCTGAATATTTAGTGTCGAATGTCTGAATCCGGCTTGATAATTAAGGGTTAAGGCGACCGCACACAAACCAAGATACGCCTCTGGTAGGGTGTTATCCATTCGCTTGTCTTGTCTTTTGTATGTGATAAGTATGTATCTGCTGCTTCAATCTTTATTTTAGACTAAGGTTTCACATATGCACACTGATGTTTGGAATCTTTCTTGCACTGATGAGGGGTTGATACCTCTAAATCGATCTGTAGGTGATCTGCATAAATATCTGTCGAATGTAATTCAATATTTGGTAGGAGTTTACCAGAACCCACTGTATAGGTACTTTAGGAGAGATGAATGTTACAGAAATTATTCTATATAAATATTACTGGAGAGTTTTCTAAAAAGTCAGCAGATGTGCTGCTGTGAAGTTGATACACCTCTCCACATTTTGCTGGCCACATGATTTTCATGTATTTGTAGGTTTCATTCCAATTATTTTTTCTCAGTTCACTCCAATGAATCTTGTACTTGGATACTTCAAGCAAATCTCTATCATCGAATGATATTGAATATGCCTGAAAAACCTATTGTATAATGAAACACGGGTGAAGTGAAAATCTCACAAAAATATTATTCAAATACTTCATTGTCGCAAATATTCTGTTTTATTCTATGAAAACAAAATAACAGTGGCAGACGGCTGATGACCACTGGTGGTTACAAGGAGGTGGCTTGCAGGTAGTGATCTAAAGTGACGATGCTTACTTGACATATACTTGCGGGTCCCATCAGGGCTCGGGCCAACGTGATCAATGGGAAATATTGGACTGGATAGACCTCTAGGTCCTGAGTTTAGGATGCCCGACTCTATTAGAGCGATTAACATCTTCAGATACTCATGACTACCAAACTTTTTATATAACTCGTATAAAAACATAGGAAGTTTCATTTCTCAATTCTCATATATTCATTGCTTCTGATCTTATTTACTATCTGAGTAAATCTGTATCAATTCTGTTCATAACAGTGAATATATTTAATGATGCATTCACTTATAATTAATTTCATTATTGATCAAGAAAAAAAAAGGTGATATGAAAGTTTCGATCTGCAAACAGAATATTTATTATTGTCACCAGTTCATTGAGCTATTGTTGTCAGTTAGGTATCTATCCAAACGACATCATCTCATGAAACTTTACAGAGTAAATCAATACTCATTTCAGATGTAAATCCACATAATATTTTCATCTTCATATACGCTGAGGACGATAAAAAATCACTCAAAAGTCTGTTTACGATCTACTCTATTGGAATAAGATATCAAAATGTACTGAAAATACAGAAGTGAATAGAATGTAATCAATTTGAAATTTATATTTTGTATCATCCATGATATGCCCCATGATAGATTGCGATTTAAGATCCAAAGAAAACAAGTCGTAAACTTCGGAAATACAATCACAAATTCTGAAAGTTTACTGTTCCGAAAAGTAAACCTTGGCGGCATTCCAGAGACTGTATTGGGGATTTTGATGTGTAATGTAACAGGGGTGTCGTTCGAGGACACCAACCAATACGGGGGAAAGCAGAAGAAAAGAATTGAAAATTTATTCGGCTTTGTGTAAGCTTATTAGCAATCCCTTGAAAATTCAAAGTTCAATGTAAAAGCAAATTGGATGCGTGGCGAATAGAATAAAAGAGATTTGGTTGAACTTTGAGAAGTTCTTTGTTCTTTCGAAAGATATTGTTTTCGAACTGATTAGTTATTTCAAGTAGAATTAATTTTTTAATGAATATTGGAAAAAAAATATTTTGATTTGTCAGAATGAATATGAGTTTCGAAGCAAGCAAATAAGAGTGGGAAATTCAAATATTTACATTCTTACATTGAAACGCATCGAAATACGAAAAACTGATAACCGATATAGGTTAGAAATAAATGTCAGATAAAATTAAATTAATATCTGTGATGAAAAAACGTAAAAGGCATGATAAACTGATTGTTAGTATTTAGGAATGATGTAAAATTCAAAATTTATCATTGTGAATCACTTCCTTAGAAATTGACATGAAGTGATGCTTTTGAAAAATATTTATATTTACATAAAAGGGAGGTTAACTATTGTTGTACGAAACTATAAAAAGAAAATGTATCTAAATTTAAGAGCCAATGTTAAATTAGCAGAGTAGAAAATTTTCCTGAGAAAGAATTTGAAAATTTGTATATGTGAAAATTGATAGATGGTAACTAGGGGAACGAGATAGATTTTGAATGATATCAGAATTTAACGTAGCATCTGAATATGTAATGATATACAGGGCGTTCGATTTCAAAAAATGGAATTTTAGTCTGTAGCACCTACACCAAACACCCAGTATATTTAAAAATCATATCAAAATATAGCTCTCATGAACTCCTAAAACTTTTGTATGAAACATTTTTGTGTATCTCTTTCAACAAACCAGATATTGCCTGTCACAGTACACCAAGCTGAATAATTCGGGTTGAATAGGTTTTATTCCCAGTTGGTCGGTTGTATGACAGATTGCGTTGGAAATACGACTAAGTTTCTATAAAATAAAATCATGAATATAAATAATATGCCTGAAGTTTAGCTCGATATATCACATACCTAGACCAGGCAGAAAAGTTCAAATTAATTCCCTTTCCAAATACCGCTAAGGTTCCAGAAAAACTTATTTGCAGTTCCAATACATGAAATCAACTAGAACGAGTCCACTTGCAGATGGATCCAACGTTCCTGAACTTTTTACCACAATACTTTTCCAAATAAAGAAATGTATAAGAAAAACGAGTTTCAATTATACCGAGAAAGCTACTGACAGCGCCATCTCCGCGCGAATAGGCCAAGCCAAACTATGTTGATAATTCTGTCAATACAGATCCCTAATCCCTAGCATTTACACCGGAATGAAATGAAAAATAGGTTAACGTCGATAACGGAAAGATGATACAGTGAGTATAAGTGACAAACGAGGACAAATTAAAAACGAGAACATATTACATTATGAAATCACGAGCGGTAGGGAAGTTACGCTATATCTCACCCCCCTCTCATTTATGCGAACGTGACGGATACACGTCAATGAGAAGGAAGGTAAAGTTTCAGGTGACAAGCATTGAAGGTGCCCCTTTCAGTCACCTGTTCATCGAGGTAAGTAAGGACGAAGGTAGCAAAACTATCTCTTTTCTTCACTTTGTAAGGGCCCTCGTATAATAATAAAAACTTTTTTGTTTCAGCTCACCTCACCTCAACGACGATGAGGTGGTATTCGCCCTCAACAAGACTAGTTCCCCAACGGAAAACTCACGATAAGGTTTACCTGGATATCTTTCAGCCCTTCGAGCAGCTTTTTCTCGTAAGGTCGTTTCCGTCAGAACTAATTTCCATTCCGGAGGAACATAGGAGCAGGTTTCACCTAGGAATCGATAGGCCACAGGCAAAAGTCGAAGCGAATCCATTCCATACTGCAATTCATTAGGTGCAAATCCAGTAGACTCGTGGACCACTGAATTCAAAAAATCCGCAAAAGCAGGTACTTCGCAGGCCCACCTGGAATGTTGTTGGTGGCAGTACGTCCTAAACAGCCTATTCAGCTCCCGCATAACCCTTTCAGAGGGATTCGCTGTGGCATGCCGCACAGAGCAAAAAATTACTTGCACACCCAAGTTACTAAGTGTTTCTTTCCAAAGGCGAGCTGTAAACTGGCTACCATGATCCTAAAGGACTCTTTTCGGCATTTCATTTTTAGGGAAGTAATCTTGAATCAAACGATTCGAAATAGATTTAGTAGTAGCCCGTTTTAAAGCAAAAAGAGCCACATGCTTAGTGAAAAGGTTCACCACTACCAATAGGTATGTAACACCACCTCTGCTCTTAATTAGAGGTCCATACAAATCTAGTGATATAATGTCATCTTTGGAAGAAGGCACTATAGGTTGTTGAGGGGGCCTAGGCATCTCCGCACTTTCAGCGCGTTGACAAATATCACAAGACTTACAAATGTTCTTCACCCTTCTGTGCAAATTATTAAACCACAGTTCCCTTCTCAAAGCGCACCAGGTCTTATAAACCCCATAGTGCCCTATGGCTTCATGATAGGCAAGAATGCATTCATCAATGAGGCTGGATGGAATACATAACAAGTATGAACCCTCTTCGCCTCCATGCTTATACAATACTCCTTTCTGATCAACGAAATGATTTTGCAGAGCGACATTGTGAGCAAGGTCCGTTTTTATAGCGTTTAGTTTTGAATCAGCATCTTGCAATTTCTATATTTTTTTTAAGGACAACAAGAACTCAGAAGGCAACTTCAGAGCAGAGAGAATCCGAAAATATTCTCCTTCAGATTGGTTATAAGCTCCACAGGCATCTCTTGACAGAGCATCAGCAATCACATTGTCACCTTCCGGTATATACTTTACATCAAAACAGAAATCCTGTAAAGCCAAGGCCCAAAGCGTTATCCTCGGAGTGAGTAACCTACATGTATTCAAGTAAGTTAAAGCCTTACAGTCCGTATGCAGAGTGAACTCTGTACCCAGAAGGTAAACTCTCCATTGCTGTAGCGCAAAGACTGCCGACAAAATCTCTTTTTCAGTAGCCCCATAACGAGTCTCTCTTTCTAGTAAGCGGCGGCTAGCCCAAGCCACTACTTGCCGCCTTCCCTTTATGATCTGAAAAAGTTGGGCTCCCAGACCATAGTCACTTCTGTCAGTTTGGACGTGTCAGGACGCACTAGGGTCCGGATGATACAACAAAGTATCGCTTTGTAAAATCCGCTTAACATTTTCAAAACTTTTCTCTTGTTCCACGTCCCATATCCACTTACTTTTTTTTCTGAGCAACCTGGTAAGGGGTTCCGTGAGAACTGAAAATTTGGGACAGA